TCTGATAGTATTACTCTTCGCTTGTAAGTGAAAGGTCTTCAATTCGAATCTCATGAATGGCGAATTTGATATCAAATTAGGTTTGCCCATTGTGTGACTTAGCCAAACTCCATCCCTCAGTGTAAAATATATCGTTGAACTAAAACAAAAAACAAAAAAAAAAAAAGTCATCTATGATCTACCTTGTCATTTGAGCAAACATTGTTCAAGCGTTTGACGTTGAGACCATAGTACAAGGAGATCATATTTAACAAGGATTCTATATCCTAAAATACACCATTTGACTAATTTAAACATAATTACATAATCAATTACAACAATCAAGGAAAGCATATCTTGACAAAATCAAAGGCAAATGATATCTCAACATGCCTCCTCAAGTTGGTGAGTGGATATTGTACACTCCCAACTTGCCAAGCAGAGTTTCAAAGTAGCCTTTCCTAATGGCTTTGTGAACAAGCTAGCCAAGTTTGAACTTGTTGGTCTGTACGCAACGGAAACCAAACCTGATGTGAGATGTGTGGAACCAAAAATAATCACAAGGCGACACATGAATTTTTGGGTAAAAAAGGACAAAATTACCCTTGAGGCACACCGGGATTCCTACGCACGAGCAACGGACAATTATCCCTCAACCAAGTCAAAAGTGCCCAAAATAGGTAACAATTCAAAACCTATTTCATCCATCCTCATCAAATCCTCTCCACAAGGTAACTCCCAAATCTTTCCCCTTTTATTATATTAATTAGCTAATCAATTAGGCAATTATTCTATTAATTGGCTAATTAATTAGTTAATTATTCAATTATTTCGAATTGAACACAAATCAAGAACCGGCTGGTCTTCTCTCACCCAAGGAGACCGGCCACACCCCTATAAATACTACCCCATTCTCTCCAAAACTCAATCCTAATTCTCTTGCTAAACTCTCTAAATTCTCCAAACACTTTTCCCTCAAAATTCTAACTTTGGCATCAGAGGTTCTTCGGCCAAAACCCCCCCCCCCCCAAATTCATCATGGGCGCGTGAGGCTCTTGGCCTTAACCTAAAGTGTTATTTGTTTTGTAGGTGCAATTTTGTCCAAGAGCAAGGAGGAAGAAATTTGCATCCACAAGATGTTGTCGTACTAGATGGGAATCTAGTTCTATGTGCTTCGTTCGCTCATGAAAAACAGGAATCTTGGAAATATGTAAAGTAGATTGGTTGTCACAATGTAAAGTTGCTGCCTTCGGATGTTCAACATGTAACTCCTTGAGTATGTACCGAAGCCATATGAGTTCACAACACACATCTGCCATGGCTCAGTACTTCGTTGCAGTGGAGGAATGTGCAACGGTACTTTGTTTTCCAAGAAATCAGTGCATTCCCAAGAAATGTACAATAGCTTGTAAGTGATCGTTTGGTGATAGGGCAAGTTGCCCAATCTGAGTCACAAAATGCCTTCAACTTGATATTATTTTGAGATAGAAAGAACAAACCTTGACCCAGTGATCCTTTAATATAAAGCAGGACCTTTATTGCGGCCTCTAGATGTGGTTGATGCGCCTCGTGTATAAAGCGACTCAGGATGTGAATGACAAAATTAATGTCTAGCCTGGTCACTGTCAGATATATAAGTTGTCCCACCAAACGACTATATCTAGTGGGGTTATGGAAAGGAATTCCCTCATGGGGAACGCTGAGGATCGAGCACCTAGAAAACCCTCATCGTCAATGACCTCGAGGGCATATTTGCGTTGTGAGACAAATATCCCTTTCTGTGATCTTGCCACCTCTATACCCCAAGAAATATTTCAGAAGTCCCAAATCCTTAATGCAAAAACGACGATGGAAAAAGTCTTTCACCATTTCAATTACTTGAGAATTATCCCTTGTAATAACGACATCATCAACATAAACTAATACAATAGTAAAAGAATTATTTTGAGACTGAGTAAAAAGTGAATAATTCGCCAAAGATTGTACAAAGCCAGCTTCGCGAAGTGCGGTAGTGAGCTTCGCAAACCAATTGCGAGAAGCTTGCTCCAGGCGGTAAAGTGACTTTTGGAGCCAAAACACCATGTTTCCTCCTTATTGGCAAAGACCAGAAGTTAGTCGCATATAAACCTCCTTGTCCAAGTCACCATGAAGGAAAACATTTTGAACATCCAATTGATGGAGGTGCCAATTGTAGGCGACTGCAAGAGCAAGAAGGCACCGAAATGTCACCAATTTGACTGTAGTCAAGACCTTGTTGGGTGTACCTTTTGGCAATGAGGCATGCTTTGTATCGTTCAACGATGTCGTCAGAATTATACTTAACTTTGAATACCCATTTGCATAAAGAGGTGAGGACCTAAGTATTATTTTGTTCTGGTGCCTCAATGTCCTTGCCCACAGCTTCACGCCAAAAAGGATCAGAGGATGCCTGAGCATAGGGTATCTAGTGCTCGTACCTGGTGTAGAAGAAGATGATTAGACAGATGCGGAGGGCACACGTGCTTCACAGTGGAAGTCGCGAAAGAGGACTGACGGTTGCGGGATTCGATTCAAATGACGAGGCGGGGTTAGAGCAAGGGGAGAGGAGATGGGAGCAGTCTTGGGTAGTGGGGAGTTGGGAGATGCCAGTGACGGGGAGAGAGGGTTTGTTTGGTTTTGAGGTTTCAAATGAAGATGAATGGATAGGGAAATCAGATGAGGTTATTATTAAGAGGTGGGGATGTAGGGGATTGTGGAGTTGTAGGTGGAGTTTGCCTGGAGAGTGGTGTAATGGGTCTACTATAAGGAATAGGTTGATTATAATTATAAAAAAAAAAAAACAGGGATAGGTGTATGATTTGGAGATGTAAAAGGGAAAATATTTTCGTGAATAATATCATCTCGGCTAACCAAAAATTTGTGAGATTCAAGTTCATATAGTCGATATCCTTTTTGCCTAGAAGGATAGCGACAAAAACACATTTGCAAGCACGTTGGGCAAATTTGTTTGTGGGTTGGAGATTTGTTGCATAACACAAACACCCAAAGACTCTCAAATGGTTATATGATGGGGTTCGGGAAAAGAGAATTTCATAAGGTGTTTTTCTAGCAAGTACTTGTGTGGGTAATTAGTTGATGAGGTATGTAGTTGTAAGAAAACACTCTCCCCAAAATTTTAGTGGAAGATTAGCATGAAAGGAAACGCTCGGGCCATTTCAAGTAGGTGGTGGTGTTTTCTCTCTACAACTCCATTTTGTTGGGGTGTATAGGTGCAAGTGTGTTGGTATAAGACTCCATGGTCCGCAAAATATGAATGTAAAGATGCAAATTCACCCCGTTGTCAACCCGAATGGCTTTGATTTTCGTGTTGAATTGTGTGGATACAAAAGAGATACTTGTGGCCTTCGGAAAAGCCATGCAGCCAAAAACAAGTTTCTATGTGTGGTTGTTACCTTGGCAATGATAGCACATTAGTTGTCCCTTTTGATTTCCACGTGAGTGATTACTCGAGGAGGATGACCGGTTCTGAAAGTTTTGCTTGCCATTATTTGGTTTCCGATGAGATATACTGAGCATCGCCATACTCTCAGTATTCTGATGAGCTGCAACAATCCTTCTTTGACTTTCTTTCTGAGCATGAAGGCCATAAGCCATTTCTGTGGAAGGAAGCGAATTCAGCATGCAAGGCTCGAACTAGGTCTAGATAACTTGAAGATGGAACAAAATGGGTCTGGCCTCGTCAGAACGGCAAATATTTAGCCAGAATCTTTGCCGGAGTTCTCTGCAGCTAGCCGGACATGGAATCCATCAGTGATTCCGTTCAAAACTCACAAGTGTGAAGCCAAAGCTCACATGCAAAGGTTATAAAGTTAAACAAAATGATGAATGGAATGTAAGGAGTGATTTCAAACCTTACATTGTTCGAGGAAACCGAGGAGTATCGCCAGAGTTCCTCCTTCGCGTCAGAGCTCCTTGTTGTAGGACAACGGTGAGCTGCTATTTGTGCCATGAAGAGGGAAACGGGACGAGAGAGTTAGATGAAAAGAAAAGAAAGAAAGAGATGAGTGGGAAGAGAGCGAAAGAATCGGCTGAAATGAGGGAAAATGGGGGGAAAATGGGACCGTGAGGGAGAGAGATGTGATGGAAAAGTGATGGCATATGGCGTGTGTGTAAGAGAGAGAGAGAGAGAGAGAGAGGGAGAGAAACGTGAGATAGTGGGAGAGAAAGAAAATATATTTAAAAAAAAAAAAAGAGGTTTTTTAATTTTAATCTTTAAGAAGATTGAAATTTAAAATAAACTTTGTTAGATTACATATTGATTTAATCCATTGATGTGTTCTTAATTCAAAATAATTAATGTGCATTTTATTTAATGTCTTTCATTAAATATTTAAATTTATTAATATATAAATTTAAATTTATTTTTGATCAAAAAAGAGTTTTTTAATTTATTAAATTTATTTAACATTCTTCAAATTTGAAAAACTTGTACCTAAATGTTAGTACCAAAATGCATTATATTGAACGAATGTATTTAAATGTTAGTACCGAAATGTATGTATTGAAATATATGCATCGAAATGTATTATATTAAATTAATATACCTAAATTTATGTACCGAAATGTATGCACCAAAATATTATTAAATTAATGTACCAAAATGTTTGTATCGAAATGTATATACTGAAATGTGTGTACCTAAATCTATGCACCAAAATGTATCATAATAAATTTAATGTACCTAAATAAAGAAAACAAAGTACATCAAAATATATTATATAACAAAAAATTAATTTATCTAAATGTTTACAATAAAATATATTACGATAAATGATATAAAATTAATACATTAAATATTAGAAGAAAAAAAGAAGAAGAAATAATTAGAAAATCAAAATGTAATTAACAAATGAAGTTATTAATGTATAAGTGATTAAAATTAGATTTTGATCTTATTCATGATTTTAATCTAAAATAGAATAAGTAATCCAGATCCGCAGTGAAACCCGCCCCGGTAAGCCAGTCGTCTTCATTTTCTAACATCCTTCTGGCTCTGGAGTAAAAGCATAACCACCTCTTCGATTCCGATTTTCCCACGCACTTTCTCGGCATCCAAACACATTGTAACGAAATCTAAAGAAGAAAAGCAAGTGAGAGAATTAGAAAATCTAACTCCAATGGCGGATCCAATCGCAGCGCCGCACAGATCCGCCGCGAACCTCTTCTCGGACCCGCTCGACTCCCACCCTCCCTGGTTCAAGCCCGCGCTCTTCCTCTCGCCGGAGTTCGATTCCGAGTCGTACATCTCCGACCTCCGCACCTTCGTCCCCTTCGACACGCTTCGATCCGAGCTCCAGTCCTACCTGGCCTCCCTCAACCACGAGCTCATCGACCTCATCAACCGAGACTACGCCGACTTCGTCAACCTCAGCACCAAGCTTGTCGACGTCGACTCCGCCGTCGTCCGCATGCGGGCCCCGCTCGTCGAGCTGAGGGAGAAGATCGAGCAGTTCAGAGGCTCAGTGCAGAACTCGCTCGTCGCCTTGACGAACGGATTGAAGCAGAGATTAGAGGCGGCCGAGGCCAGAGAGGTCTTGGAGCTCCTGCTTGATACGTTTCATGTCGTTTCTAAGGTAATGCGTCTCTGAATTTAGCTTTGGCGTTTGGGAATTTGGAGCATGTGACAGTGATTTAGTTGAAGGATTTAGTATGAATTTCATTGCTTATTGATTGAGCCTTGATTTTTTTTTTTTTTGTTCTTTTCGATCTGAAATCGCATTGCGTGGGACTGTCTGGATTTCCAATTTGAGAGCTTTTAAGAAGAAGAGAATATTAAACAGATTGGAAAATCAGTCTCAATTAACCGCAATGTTGTTTTGATTTTTGTTCCCATTCTCCTACTTTGAATGCAGGTTGAAAAACTAATAAAAGAGCTGCCGAGTGTGCCGGCTGATTGGTCGAACGGAGATGTAAATTTGGCAGAGAAGAATTCTTTTAGCAATGGAACTTCCTTACAACATGCTGAGAATGGAACAAATCTCAGAGACACTCAAAGCATGCTTTTGGAGAGAATTGCTAGTGAGATGAACCGGCTAAAGTTCTATATCGCTCATGCAAAGGTTGCTTTTTTTTCTCTCTCACGCAATCAATTTTTTATTACATCCGACTTTGATATCTGTAGCTGTGGCTTGAGTTTGAATTGTAGCAGAATTCAGTTCAAACTCGTCGGGTGCATTTTCAACTGTGGCTTCAAGAAGTGCCGAGCGGTTAAATTTTGATCGTTTTATTTTTCTTTTTGATAGAAGCTATTAATTTTCCTAAGTTTGTGTAGGCGACAGTGAAAAAATGTGGGTCTATATATGTAAGCTAATTTTGTTCAGATGTCAGATGACCTGAATTTTTGAGAATTCTTGCCCCGGATCTTATATTACTTCCTTTCCATCCACACTAATTTTGAACATTGAATTGTTTTATTATGGGCTTGGACATTTTGTGCTCATCTATTTTCTCTATTATGCCAGTACAGAACCTGCCTTTCATTGAAAACATGGAGAAGAGGATTCAGGGTGCCAGCCTATTACTAGATGCTAGCTTGGGACATTGTTTTGTAGATGGACTGGAACATCGAGATGCAAATGCAATCTACAATTGCTTACGTGCATATGCTGCAATAGATAACACTAGGAGTGCAGAAGAACTTTTTCGCACGACTATAGTAGCTCCATTGATACAAAAAATTATTCCCCATGGAACATCAGGGGCTGCTACAAGACCCTCTGGAGATGACCTTGAGAATGATTACAAGCAAATCAAGACATGTATTGAAAATGACTGCAAATTTTTGTTGGAAATTTCTTTCGAAGGTATTGAAAAAGTCCAAACTCCATTGCTGCTTCTTTGCAGTATCATACTCCCATTACAATTATCTGAACTCATTTGTATCAGAATACAACATATTGCTTCAATCGTGCAACTTAATTTAATGGCCATGGTTCTGTGATGCACCCTAGTCTACGGATTAAGCATGTGTATTCGTGTAGACTGAAATCAATTGTTACTCCTTTACGTCATCATTTTACAAGATGCACCATGTTTTGTTCTCTTTCTTTTTTTGTAGCATTATCATTTCATTTATCTTTAACTCATTTATCTGGATTCTTGTTGCCTCAATTTCATTGTTTCATTTGTATACAATGCTTCTGCGATGCACCATGATTTTATAAATTTAGGAGATGGCTAATTCGTCATAGATCCATGGTAAACATAAAAAGGCCATGCTATAGGTTATAAATTATAAGAATTGACATGGATATGTATACATGAATGTTATATGTCTATATTTTCAAGTCACTTTACTGTTTTTATGGGTTTCTTTTCCCAGAGAATTCTGGTTTGCACGTGTTTGACTTCTTGGCAAATTCAATCCTCAAAGAGGTTCTCTCAGCAATCCAAAAGGGGAAACCCGGTGCTTTTTCTCCTGGAAGACCAACAGAATTTTTGAAAAATTACAAATCAAGCCTGAAGTTCTTGGCTCATCTAGAAGGTAGAAATTAGTATCTCCCCATTATCTCATTTAAGTTTTAAAATTTGGCATAGCTTATCCGCAGTTCAATTGCTGCTGACATTGTATTGTCATGCAAGGCTATTGTCCATCCAGATCAGCTGTTTCCAAATTTCGAGCCGAAGCTGTTTATATTGACTTCATGAAGCAATGGAACCTTGGGGTTTATTTCTCTTTGAGGTACTCGGCAGAACTCTTGGTGGTTACTGATTTTATTGAATATGAATTGAGGTTTTATGTTGTGGACTGCTCTGTTAATTTATTACTAGAATTACCTCAGGTTTCAGGAAATTGCAGGGGCTCTAGATTCTATACTTGTGGAGACTAGTCTTCTCCCTGTGCATAATGTACCTTCTGGTCAAGGAAATTCTCCAGATTTAACATTAAAACAAAGTGTCACTTTGTTAGAGTGCTTGGAATCCTGTTGGAGAGAAGATGTTATTGTTCTTTCTTGCGCTGATAAGTTTCTTCGCTTATCTTTGCAGCTTCTTTCAAGGTCAGTTTGAGGAGATTGGATGCTAAATTTTAGTCTAGACCATAGTTTTGTTACTAACAACATATTTGTGACTGTATCATAGATATTCAAGTTGGCTGTCATCTGGACTGGCTGCTTGCAAGATGGGTCAAACCGGCTCCAAATCTGGTTCTGAATGGGCTACTTCAGCTGTTCCTGATGATTTTATATATGTATGCTTCATGTCTTGATTTTACTAATATAATATAGTGTCTAAAATGTACTAAATCCATGCATAGCTAAGAGGGTAAAATAAGTCTAAAAGTCTTCTTGGACTTTGTATAAACTTGTGAAAAGACTTCACATATTCTCTAATGTAATTGGATCGTGCCACATCTCACCAATATACATCAGTTAATTTCAAAAAAGAAAAATGAATCTTAATACAGAGACTGACACGTGTTGGTTTTGCAGATTATTCATGACACAGACCGGCTGTACAAGGTGGTTTGTGGTGACTTCCTCGGGCATGTACTTAAGCTTCTTTCTTCTTGTCCTGCCGATGTTCTTGATCTCGTAAAACAGAGCCTTTTACAAGGAGGAAAATCATTGAATGATTTAGTGCCTCAAGTTATCAACACAATTGTAGAGGCACTAGTTGAAAAATCTGCTGCGGTAAGTTTTGACTGATTAAGAACTTCTCCAAGAGAGACTCTATTTTTTGTTAAACTAGCAAGTGAACAGTGTCAAAAAACTATTTTAGCTACTCAGTTCAACTTTCTTCTCCAACAACAGTCTTTATATTAGCAACTTTTGAATATTTTATTATTAACAATTCAAACCCAACCCGCTCATTTCCTAAAACACCCTTTTCTCTCTTCCTTTTCTCCTTGCTCAAGGGTCCACCCTTGAGTTTTATTATTTTGTTAATATTTAGCAAGCAAACAGTTGCTCTCTAAATATAAAGAGTGACTCTTCATTTTGCTATAATAGTCTTTTACAGCATCTCTTGGAGATGAAATTTTTAAGTTTGACTATTTAAAATAAAGTTGGCCTGTTTTACTCTCTTGGAGATGCTCTAAGAATATATTTTGGGCTAATCGTGCAATGCAATAAACTGGAGCCCCTTGGGTTTGCACACACCTTTAAAAATGTGAAGCTGGGTGATGGGTTTAAACATCATGTGAGAGATATATCCTGGTGCTCTGTTTTGGATCTTTAACGGATTTTCTTAATTTATCATTTCCTGTCTTGTGAAGTCTATATTCGTTTTGATGTTACCTTCCTTAAAAAAATGTAGGAATTGGCACAGCTAAAGGGAATAACTGCGACGTACAGGATGACAAATAAGCCTCTTCCCGTCAGACATTCACCCTATGTGGCAGGAGTATTGCGTCCCCTGAGGGTATGCGGCCTTCTATCTTTATGGCTAAAATTGTCATCATGTTCCGAAACAAGTGAATGGTTTTTACTTTTATTTTTCCTTCCCTGCTGTTTTCAGTTAATAGATTTAGCTGTAGCAATAATCTAGGGTCCGATATTCTAGGTTCCCATCTTGCAAAACTGGGTCTTTCAGAAATTCAGATGAGGTGGAATACAGTGTCAGTCTTATTGCTCTTACCATTCATAGGATGTGGAAGAGACATTTAATTCTTGCACTTACGATCACATGTTTTAGTGTTATCGGATCCCTGTGGTATCATTTTTCTTTACTCCAAGTAAAACTGATTAGCTGTGGAAAGTTTTTTTGCCTTGTGCTAAATGGACTTGGTAAAACAGAACATAACTACTTTTAACGTTGTTTTAGATGGATTTTTAATTTGTAAAGTATGCAACATCTTTTGATCTTCAGAATGTGCACCCTGAATTTTATTCCAAATTATGAAATATATACTGAACAACCAACAACTCTCAGGCCTTTTTGGAAGGAGAACGAGCTACAAAGTATCTTACAAGGGATGCTATCAACGAAGTGCTGCTCAATGCCGCAACTGAGATTACTGGTCGTTATTATGAGCAAGCTTCCAATGTCGTCAGCGTGGTTAGTGTCCGGATGCTGAAATGGCCCTTGAAATATATAACCTTCTGCAATTCATATTTGTTGAATTCTAAACTCCTAACTATCATGATCAGGCTAGGAAAACGGAGACTTCACTCCAGAGAATAAGGCAAGGTGCACAAAGACGAGGCGGAGCAAGTTCAGATGTTTCTGATCACAATGTGTCGGACACTGACAAGATATGCATGCAAATTTTCCTCGACATTCAGGTAAGAACTGGCCTACGTTATCCATGTATGTTGTCAGGCAAACGGCTAAGAAATTATTGACTTAATACAAGATGATTAATGGCGACGTATATGGTTGTCAGGAGTATGGCCGTAACCTTGCTGCCCTCGGTGTTGACGTTTCCAATATTGAGACATACCGTTCCTTGTGGGAATGTGTTGCTCCTCCAGAGAGGAAAAGTGTGATTGATTTATGAAGTTGGGCATTCAGCCCTTCCCGATTTGTAAGTGTACTTTCTTGCTTTCCAAATTCAAAGAATTTTGTTATAATTTGATTAGTTGTGAAGTGGTTATGCTTATTGCAAGAGGTTTATTAATAATAATTTCTTCAAAGATTAAATTAGATTCTTAAAACCACCACGCTTGCTTCTCCACATGCACAAAGTTGAAGCTCATGTACCAAATTCATTGAGAGCAACTTATATGGAATGGGTTCACCGTCACGTGGCATTTCGATTTAGTAATATATTGGCATACGGAGTAAAACTTGCACTTGGCAATACGTTATTGGATAAGCGACTCCACATGGTAGTAAATCTGTTCCTATAAACTTTTTAAAATTGATGAAGGTACCAAATTGAAGCCTCTATTCATGGGCCAAGGGTCTGATGTCCTTCAAACCAACTTATTATAATAATTTTTCCTTTCGGAAAAACAAAAACTTCTTAAACTAATTTTTTTTTTTGATAACGAGGTGATGTGATGATGTAAAATTTTTATTCTTTTTTCGGTCAAACAAGAGAACTTCTATTAAATTAAAACTATTACAAGACCTAAAAAGAGTCAAGGCAAAATGAGAACTGCCACCTACGAAACAGCAGGAGTCCCACACAAGTTTAGGTTCGAAGGTTGCAAAAAACAAACAAAAAACCTAATCTTAAGCAGCATAAATCAGACTCCTGCCGTCGTCACATCCTTGGAGGAAATCAAACTCCGAATTGAGAAAGTAGACACCAGATCTAAGTCCCCTTCTCGAACACTTGTAAAGATATACAAAGAAAGCAAGAAAGTATGTTATGGGTAGAAAGTGAGGCTAAAGGGATATGTAAAATACTTTTAATGTGGCGGAGACTACATAACACTTAGCCTCGATGAGGATCTGGCATATGTCGGTTTGGGGAAGGGAAGTGAGGGACAGAAGTGGATTTGATATCCAATTTTTGATTGGAGCCTGCCAATTCGAGCACATGGTGGGGTGAAGATTGAAAATCATTGCTAAGGAGGAGGGAGGAAGGAAAATTAAAAGCAGAAAGCAGTAAAAGTAGACAAAAAATGTCGAATAAGAGGCATGAAGCCCAAATTTGAGACAAGCTCAGAGGATAGTTGAAACTTGGCTAAAAGAAAAACTGATATAAAACTCCAAGGGAGAACAGAGAATAAAAATGAAGGAAGAAGACTGAAAAAGGGGAAGGAAGAGGAGGTGGGATGCAAGGAGGGGAAGGGGCAGAGGAGATGGGAGGGGAGCAAAAGAGGGAAATGGCAAAGGAGAGGGGAGGGAAGGAGGAGGAAAATGAGGTAGTGGGTTGCCGCCTACCTCGAGCAAGAGCAGGGGGTGGCGGTTGACATACAGAGAGGACAAGTCTCATTTCAAATTTGATGTAAATCATTTACCCATTTCAAGCCTCATTTATTCAGAACAAAAAATAAATTTTCACCTCATCTAATAACAAAAAAAATTAGTGTAGGAAGTCGGTGCCAATAGATTGAGAGAGATTTTTCAATATACTTGGAATCCAAATCGATACGCCACATATTATTATACAAGTGGTGAAATTTTACTTTTTTTCAAGTATTCCTTTAATTATATAATTACATGTGATGTACTGGTCGAGGGGTATTGAAAAATGTCTCATAGTTTGGAGAGATCTTTCATTGTGTGTGAAACAAGGGTGGTACACCACAGGTCACACAAGTGGTGAGATACTTGTGTTAAAAAAATTAACAATTTAAAAAATAAAAAATTTCTCGACTTATATAATTGCAGTGGTGTACCATTTATATTCTGGGCATAATGAATTTTTTTTTCCATAATTTGAAATCATTATTCACAAAATTGAGGCCTAACATGTACCAAAATTGAAATCTCCGTGTACCCAAACCCACATTCATCATCCCAAAAATCAATAGAATTGGTTACTTAATTCCCATGAAATATTACCAAGGAGTTTATTTTACTAGTATATTCAAATCAAACCACTGCTAAAAATCTATCGCATGAAAAATCACTAAGAATAAGATGAATGGACAGCTAGAGAAAATCTCAACCTAATTAAACCCATAAAAACAAAAAAAATTGGCCAAAGCGATTATTTTTCTAATCTCAATTGCGTAAATGATTAGTTTTCAATATGTCGGCAATGTTCATCAACATGACGATCAATATTTGATTTCGATCATTGTAGCAATTGAAATATAAAAAATAATCTATTTGGCCGATTTCCGAAAAATGGATCAATAAATATATACACTCTATATATACACGAGCACTGCAACCGCAATCGCATATTGTCACTGCATCATGATTCTGAACTCTTCAAAACTGATCAAACCATCCCCATTCAAATCAAACCGTTGGATCATCACCTTGCACTCATCAATGGACTTGGACTCACCCAGCTTGCTCAGCATTCTCTTCAAGCTGCTGGGTGTAATAAACCCACACCTCTCCACATCGTACACCTCAAAAGCCTCCCTTAAACCCTTCAATTTCTCCTCCTCTTTCCCTCCTTCCATTAACCCCACAAGATCCTCCAAACCCAGCAACCCGTCTCCGTCCGAGTCCAGCATTTCCACCGCCACCTCCGCCTCATTCTGCAGCAGCTCTCCTCCCATCAACCCTAGCCGGCGCCTCAGCTCCGAAGGCGAAATCTTTCCATCACCATCTTCGTCAAAGTATCTGAAAACACGTTCATATCCTTTGTCACTTTCCATTCACAAGTGATATCTAAAGGGTTCAAACACAAGACCTCAGATGCAAAGATATATGCGCTAAACGATTAATTATACATAAAGTTACGAAAAACCTAACTGAATTCGCTTGCAGTGGAACAATATTATTGCAGCCGTGTAGGCATATATATATCATTTCTGGACCGACTTATTGCCATGTTCTATGTCATGGGCAGAAGTTGCTGTGAGTTTTCTGGACATTAATGCATGAAATGAAACATTCAACAAAGGAGGAAAATATATATAAAAATAAAAAATGGAAAGTAGCTGGGAAAAAAGTGACTCCGCACATAGTCATGTGTGAGGTAAATAGGGAAGAAACGCAGAAGCAGATTTTGCAAAGGAAGAGGGAGAAGTTCAACGATCTAGAAAGAGAGACTAGTAGTTTCATGTCTTTTATAATGGTCAACATCCTCCTGCTTCTGACTTTTTGAGAAAGTGATTATTATTTCAGACACATACGTCTGACTGCGTTGTACACACGCGTATATGACGCGAAATCATTGTGTGCGCATTGCGTGGCATATAGTGTATGAGATATACTCATATGGAATACGATCCTCTCCGTATCATTTTTGTGGTGATCCAGATAATCAATCAATCGTATCCGTTCATCATACATTGTGCGGTTAAAAATTATTTTAAAATTTTAATTTAAAATTGAATATAAATAGTATTTAACGAAAACTGACTGCATAATATACGATGAACAAACACGATTAATTGATCATCGGATCCCCACAAAGAGGATTTGGAAAGGATCATTGCCCTACTCATATTAACAATCTATACCCACAACTTCTAGTTTAGGAGGAAGACGGCGGGAGAGCAATTTGATTATATGGCTTGTCCGACTTTAATATGTGGATATTGTTAGTGGATTTTTATTTTTTTTTAAAGGAAGACAACTCGTGGCAAGTCACATTTATCCACTCTTTCTAGGAGTCGGAAAGACTCACATAGACATCTCACCACAATCAGGCAGACTTACCAGCTTGGAGCCTCAAACTCTGGACTTCCCTTTTTTTTGTATTTTGGGAGCTAGAATCAACGCATTTACCATTGGGTCATTGTAAAGAAAAATTATTGGAGAGACCATCTTTTTAGGCTATAATTATAAGTCACATGATGTGGCGGTTGATCATTTAAAGAATGAATCTCATCATCAACTGCGACATCATATGATTTATAAAATATGATTTAAAATAAAGAAAAACTAACGAAAAGTCCAAAAAAAATTCCTCTTTAATGAAAAGCCATTTTCAAAGGTATAGTGAATAGTATCAGGGAAATGTATAAATGTGATTTTTCATTAAAAGTGAACAGTACTGAGAATATTTTGTTAAACCTCCCTTAAAATAACGGTCTTTCTAGCATCACCCGATTGTATAATATGTGATAAGATGACCCTTTCGACACGCTCGTAAAGAATGAGACCCGTGCATTAGAGATTATCCTAAATGGTAGAGATTCTCGTGTGAAAAACCCATAATGGGATAAGCATGAGAGATCGCAAACTCAAATTTCCTTTTTCTCGTTGATTAAAAAAAAAAAAGTACAGATTGTACATGTCATACAATATTGTGTTTCTTCCACGCGTTGTGATGCAAAATGCAGTTATCATTTATCCAGAATGATCCATAAAGAATACAAGTTTAGTCAAATCCTTCGTGTGAAACCTAAATTATTCTTTGATGACTTGTCAATCATGAACAATTATCTTTCTTATTAAAGTTTGAGTAATATGAAACATGTACATCGACTCAGCATTTGAATTTACATCCGATATTTTTTTTTAATACAAACAATATTTTACATTAAATTTATTGGAACTACAAAGAAATTTTTTTTGAATTTAGGTGCCAAGAGGGAACGCATTACTTTAAACAACCTGGTTAAGTTTATATTTGAAATTTAATCATATGATAGAATCAGAAGAATATATTACAAAATCAACTAAAAGCATTAGAAAATTTTCCTGCATTCACCATTTCATAAAATAAGAACATAAATATTGATCTCTTCTAAAAAAAAGAACATAAATATTGAAAGAAGATATGGTATAACAAACATTTTCATCAAAAACGCTTATTTTAAAAGCACTTCCAAACGAACCCTATAGCGCTAAAGATATCTTCCCACTACAAAATTTCCACCCTGAGCCTTTGCTTGTCCATCTGATTCACTGATATACATGGAGGTTATCAGGGAAATGCTACAATTACCTACTTCACTTTCTCATTTTCAAATCCCTTCGATCTGACAACCATCCACACGTTGAGTCTTGCTGAATTATCATTTGTCTGGCTGTTCCTCGAGCTCTATCGGATTAAATGCTGGTTCTCGGGGATTTTTTTCAGAAGTTCAGGGAACTGTTTTCGCCTCTAGCAATCATTTTGTTGCCAATTCCTCGGACTCAGACAGAGCTCCATCCATTTCATCAAAGTATGGCCAACTCTTTCGACTTCTTTTTCCGCTCTTGCTTTCCTGTTCGTGAAGACATTATTTGATTAGCGCAATGATAAAACAAGCACAAATGGAAGAAGGAACGCGGGCATTAAGGTGTAGGTGGACAAACCTCATATTTCTGAACCAGGGATGCCCACAGAGATTTGCATTGTCCTGGGCTTCGGTTGATCCCATCGGCCAACAAGTTTCTAGATATCTCTTCCCAGAGGGCCATTCTACCCTTCACAACTTGAAATCTGCTACGCAGTTTCCCGCGCATTGTAATAAGCTTCTGAACTTCGTCAGTCTTCCATTTATTGCGTTTCACGGGCTTTGAAAGATTTGGTATTTCACTGCTTTCAGGACCATCTTTCTGTGGATTTTCCTGTTCTGCAACCAGACCATTTTCATCTTCTACTGATTTGTCACCAGTTGATAACCTAACCATTGCGTTCCAAAAATCCTCCGAATCCTCTGAATCAGAAGAAAGCTTCTCTGGCTTGGAACTTGAAGTGGCAGAATCTTCCTCAGGCAGGAGTCCTTCGACTTCGATGCCATCATCTTCAAGTACGGACTCTGATGAGAATCATGAGATGAAAGAATAAAACATACCCAACGTCAATGCCAGAAATCACAACTCCAGGTAAAAAAATATTTAGATACATCAGATTGACATAGAGGTGATAGTCATGGAAAGGGAAAAGCCTACAATACATAATGAAGGGAAAGTTCTTCGATGAATCATGAAAATATCGATAGTTACTGCTAAGAAATACCATTTTACGGTGCAGTGTTACATATAATTACTGAATACATGCATATACATGCTTGCATATGTGCATATAGATGCCGAACATGTTTCTAAAAGGAGTCTATGAAGACACTTGCCCATGTGCATGTGGAGAGAGAGAGAGAGAGAGAGAGAGAGAGAGAGAGAGAGAGAGAGAGAGAGTAAATGACCTTCTGTATCTTGTTGCGAGATGCTCTGCAATGTGTTGTCCTTGCCTTCATCTGCTTGTGTTGTAGTTGACTGACTTGGAAAATGTGTATTGGCCTTGCCATCATCTGCTTGTGTCCTAGTTGACGGACTCTTAATTTGATGTTGATCATATACTTTCCTCAACTGTGACACCTCTGAACCAACATAAGATTTTCCAGATAGTCTTGCACTGACCTCATCAGCATGAACTGCTGCAGGGTTCTCCATGGCAATGGCAATGATGTCTGGCCTTTTACCACTGTACTTTCTTACCAATTTCCTCAATATCTCAGACACTGTTCTTTCCATGTGAGGAAGAGGACAACTTATGGGGCAGCTTGATAGTGCGGCATGGGCGGCTTTGTAGAGTGCATCAATAAGCTTTCCTTTGTCAAGCCATAAACATCGAGTAGTAATTTTTATCTTCCCCTTTATGCTATTTTCAGTTGAACCATTTACGTTTTGAGGTCGTAAGATTTCCATGCTTAAAACCAAGAAAAGAAGAAGATCAGGATGCTATCATATGGAAATTGCCATATTAGGAATATGCATGTGTCACTGATGAATCTATGAAACCTACCTGACCACTATTATGCCATCTAAGGCAATTCTTAGTCTCTCGTCAACACAAAGGTCGCTTGATGTGCCAAATGCTTTATCGCCATCGCTAAACTTCAACTGTAATATAGGACTAGATTATTAGAATTGCTCGATTAACTTATCATAATACACAGATAAAACTTCTTAAGGAACACCAACCTGCAAATTCTCTTTTCCAAGCAATGTGAAACCATTGGAAAGTACTCTTCTGTTTCTTAAATGAGAAACCCCAAGCATTTCCCCGTTTTTTATAACCTGTAACATGAATCTTTTTGAATTATGACCACAGAAGAAAACTTAAGCTACAATTACGCATACTACATATCATTGGATCATATCATCGACCAAGGAATTATCAACAGGATAAGTTCCCTGAGCATAACAAGATAAACAGAGTGACTCACAGTGGTGTGATGAATGCCAGTTGATCTCCCAAGCAATTCATGCTCTTTGAGAAACAAGAGTTCTCCATGTATGGGCAGAAAATGTTGCGGCTTCACAATTTGAAGCACTTCTTCCTTTAAAAGAAAATAAGATTTCCCAGTTAAAATATATAAGATGGAACCAAATGAAAATTGCACATGAAAAGGCATATCAGAATATAAATAATCACTATGGCATTGTAACTTAGTCCTTGAGAAAAGAAAATAAGAAGGTGAAACAAAGAAAGACTACTGTTTTTTTTTTTGTCCCTAAATAAGAAGACGCAACAATGTCATATAAAGTTTATCATCACCGTTGAGAAGATTAGAACAAAATCCTATCATATAAATAAAGTAGGACCTTTTGAAATTGAAATCTTGAAATACAAGACTTACCAATTCTCCACGATACCCATGACCAGAAGTGTGCAGCCCCTCATTCTTACCCATCACTATAGTTGACCCAAGATCTGATATGCGGTTTAACATTTTCATTACCCTAGATTCATTACCAGGAATTACCTATAAGGTAAACAAGGTCAAAATAGCCAAACAGATCAATCTCACCATGCAGCGACAGTAGATATCAGAATTCTGAAAAACAGTAGAAATAACTGGAAAAGATTTCCAAAAGATTTAGCTGATGTTCTGCATGCAACTTCCAGTTTTGGTAATTTCAACTTTGACTACGGACCCATGTGAATTAAACTTTGGAAAGATTTCTTCTTTCTTTCTTTTTTCAATGAAAAGCTAGATTTGTTAACCATGAGTATAGGAAACTTAAAGGGGTATAGAAACTATACGTCAATA